GTGGGATACTTAGTGGAGAACCTTTGACAGCATGATCTTTCCATCCAACAGAACAAACACCATACAGCACCAGACAGCTGAAACAGATGCTCCTGTAAGAATGTGAACTCTTATCCCTAGAACTGTTAGGTAATCTGGTGTTGAGGATTGTCAGACAGTGCAATGCAGTTATTGTGGTTAGTGGAAGTCAAATTTCTCTTGTTGCGTGCGTACGTGTTCATTATGAAATGAATGCACAAGTCCAATGAAAAATGAATAAAATTTACTACTTTTGCAACAAATAAAACAAAATGCTTAAATTTCCTCAGATATTCATATGATATCCCAATATCTCACAGTAGTAATCTTTTAAATTACTAAAAATGTTCAACAGAACTAATTCAAAATAGAGAAACTTGGAGAAAGCTAATCCAATTTCGCTACAGCAGGTTTCTAAACAAAACTCATAAAACAACTACAAATTGAGAGGTTTTCCTCCTTTTATAAGCTTTTAAAGCATTAGCCGCTGGTGTTGCATTGACGCAATGGTCAAAATAAATGCGTATATAAATATAACTACCTAAGATATTTTATACCTGCAGATGATTTTGTGTAGGGAATATTGTGAAGATTATTTCTGTAAAATATATTTGCCTTCAACAATCATTTTGTTTATAATAATTAACCTCATACTTTAAGCAAAATTTTCGATCGGGTACTTCTGCTGAAAATATTTAACAAAAGAATCTCCGTCTTTATGAGTGATCTATTTTTAATCAAGGTCACCGTTTATCAGAACATTACATCAGTCAGATGTTTATATTTGTGTTGGGAAGAACAGGAAAGCAGGTGTTGCGTTGACGCAACGTCAGCAGGAAACGGGTAGTCAATCTCCTTTTTCACTCATTCCTTTCGATGTTCTGATTCATGTTCTGGTTGTTTAAAAATGCCTAGAACGAGGTATCGTACATTAGAAGAAGCCCTTCAAAGAGTTTTTAATGAAGAAACAGATGATGATAATGTTAATAATGACCAGAATGAAACTGATATTGTTGTTGTTCCCCCAGAAATTGCAGAGGCTAGTGACCAAGAAGATAGGAATGGCAATGTTTTAAATAATGATAATGATATTTTACCAAATGATACTGCTGGGGAAGTTGAAATTCACGTAAGAAGTAAGTTTCAGCTTCTAAAAGCAGTTATAGTCATACTAAAAAGTTTAAAAAGCAGAAGACTGAAATCTTGAAGTGGATAAAAAAGAAACTGTTTGTTATGTCTCAGGAAGAACATGAAGAAAGATATAGAAGAGAAGTTATAAAAGACAAAACACAAGGTAAAACTAGTGCACAGATTTTCGATTTTCTTTTTGGTTTAGACATTTACTCTCTTCTCGTTGAAGAGACAAATATATACGCTCAGCATTTAAAAAAAAAAAAAAAAAAAAAAAAAAAAAAAGAGCCCAGAATTATTGCATCTGAAGCCTATAGAAGATTTATTGGAATATTATTGCTTACAGGATATCATTCTTTACCTCAAGAAAAAATGTATTGGTCTTTTGATAAGGACATTTCTATTCCTGTTGTACGAGAATTGATATCACGTTTGCAGTACAGAAATATGAAGCAGAATTTGCATTTGACAATAGTCAAATTGACAATACTGATAAATTGTATAAGGTGAGACAGTATCTAAACTTACTAAATATCACCACTTTCTATTACTGGAAATAAAAAGTCTCTTTTAGATTTCAGACGCACGAGATTGCATTATTCCTTTTTGCAAACTCCTATTCGAGAGTGTAGAATTAGCCAGAAATAGATCAGCAACAGAGGAAGACCTGGTAAATTCTCAGCATTCAAAAAAACCATTGCATGGAGATGGTAGACATTTTATTCGTAAAGTCCGATGATAACAAAAGATTTCGTTGTAAAGGAGTGCCATAGCCAGACTGTTATAGATGCAAAGTATGTAATATAGCTTTACATCATGATTGTAATCACAGCTTTTCATGCTTGAACTCCTTCAAACGAAATAATATGAATTTGTAAAAGAAATACAATGTATATTTTAATATTAAATTGATTACAAGTAAATTGATTTGTAGATTTATAAAACGTTATACAGTTAAAAAGTAATCCTGCGCTCGACTCAAAAGAAACATCACACGAGTACAATCCTACTCACTAAACATCAGTAGTCTTATTCCACTGACGTTGTGCGAACGCAACACTTGCTTTTTCCACAGGTAAGAGCATTTTTTTTATTCTCAATGTAAATTTATGTTATAAATGCTTAATTTAATATTTGTTATTATTTTCATGAGAAAAGAAACATTCCTTGTAGTTTTGGCGGTTAATGGGTTAAATCACGTATGAGATTGTTCTAGCAATTTCTCGAAATCAAAGAGAGATATTTAGTCTCTTGTATTTTTAATTTTCCAGCTTAGCTTTCTCTTAATATTGTCACGCGCTGCACTGCACGGGGAATAAAACAATTTAATTTATAAATCTGCTAATATTAGCTATTTAAATACTAAATCCTTAACACTTTTATTAAGACCGTTTGGTTCTTCTTTCTTTTGGATAGCTAGTTTTTGTAACAACGCCGTTCTGCCAATAAAGCTTTTTTCTGTCCGTTCCCTACTATGTGCATCCTATAAATTTTTTTTTTTTTTTGTTTCTATACTTTCCTCATCCTTTAATTACTACATTATGCATCATATAGTATGAATTTCATATGTCCTCATTTGATTTTTTTGTTGAATTACGGCCCAAATCACAAAAGTTGTTTATGTTTTGTACATATATAGGTTGAGAAAATGATTCTCAAGACTCAAAAGCTTTAATTACGTACTTCGTTTACTAAATTTCTTATATGGCGTATTATAGATTTATTTTTTAAAACTATTTAAAAATTAAATTTTTGAAATGCAGGTTTCAGATATTGCAGATATCAGGATTTTAATATTTGGTTTATATTTTAATTAAAATTGAGTAAATTGTTTGGTAAATTATCATTTTTCTTTTATAATTCGTATGTGACAGATTCAGAATTTGAAATATTTGAGAGATCTCTTGAGTGAACTGAAAAAAATTTTAAACTACAGTGCAAAGCTATTACTTTGTATTCCTTGTGTACAGAAAAATTGTTCTCATTAATGAGCCTGTTATAGATTGATGAGAGAAAGAGACTGAAGATAAAGATATAAAGCTATGCTGATTATGAAATTGTTGTATTTGAAAGTATTGAATTTCACAGCAGTGTCCAACAAAACAGTGTTACTTAGAATCAAATATATTCATAATAAGCTATTGCTTGTGTATTTCATGTTATATACAAATTGCCATCTGTTTCATTCTTAAGTAGGTGTTTGACGATCTAGTGTGAGTGAATGCAATGATGGATTCCCAAAGTTGTTAACTCTCCCGATTTTCAACCACTCTCCCGCCAACCCGATTTACAATATATTTCTCCCAACTTTTTCTTATTCTTAAAATTTCTTACGATTTTTATGGAACTTGGCTTAATACTTCGTTATATGAACAAAAAAGAAATTGATTTTGGAAGTCTGAAAGCAGTTGAATTTTATCTAGATTATATCTAATCAGTGAATCAGTGACTTTGTACTTTGTTGGGACGATTCTGTCGATCTCTTTCTAGATTTTGTTGATTCCTTTCTTTGATCACGATGAACCTATCCTCATCAATTGGTTGCTGTAAGGTCCGTGGTAAATGCTGCTGTCTACTGCACAATACTGGAAAATTCTAGGGTAATGTCTTGGAATACTTTGTAGGTACCATTCTTTTGCAAGATAATGCATTGCTGTGTACTGATAAAAGTATCAGAGTTCTGTTGAGATATACTACCCCATTCTCTGGCTCTGTCTTTTTCGGCTAGGGAAAGCAATTCATATTAAATATTAATGATACAAAGTGAATTTTCCCTGTGGCTTCGCAGCTAACCAAAAGAGTTGTATAAAAAAGGAAGTGACAGGCTGGTATATCTGTGGAATCATTGCTGTAAACAGTAATAGAGTAGGTCAAATAGAAATTACGTCGGAAATAACAGTGAACTAACTTCACTTATTTTTAAATGAACCCACATATGGAATGTGATAATTAATGTTGAAACAAGTGCAGTAATAAAGGTAATTCAAGTATATTATTATTTGGGTTGGTATAGTGATTAGGATATTAAGTATTTTGTCCATAAGTAGTCTCATAGAGTAAACATTGTGGGAATGCAATCTAATGTTTTTGTTCAGGAACACTGCCTTCTCAGGCAGTGTAATGTATGTTCAGTTAATGGGAAAGATCTTGCAGGAGGGCATGTGCTGTGAATGAGCTGTAAATTAATGTACTTCCTTAAGTCATTTCAGTTATATCAAGCAGAATTGATTCTTTGTCCGAGACCTTCATAGTTAATGATTTGTTCTGAAAATAGGTGCTGAGTTTTACCTTTTTTTCAAAAATAATTCAGTGAAATCCAACTGTAAATCTTGCTTGACATGTTCGTGTCTTCAGTCTGTATGGTAATGGTACAGAACTATTTAATTTCAGTTTTTTTAATTGCTAATTTTTAATATTTAATTTCAGTTTTTTAATTGTTAACGCTGGGCCAAAATCATCATTGATGACTTTTTAATCATGATTTTTACATTTTTTAATATTTATAAATTCAGATTTATAGGAAAACATTAAAGCTTTTTGGGAAGAAAGGGGGATATAGCACAAAAGGAGAATATAGCTCTAAAGAGAAATATAAAAAGGATATATACCAAGCTTGTGTAATCTAAACATGTGTATGAAAAATTAGTTGCATTAAAATACAAAAGTTCAAAAGTTAATTTAGATCAAATGGTTAAAAACTGACAGGGAGATGAATTGCAGAGGGATGAAATTTGAGGCAAGGTTATTTTATTTGTTGAATTGAAAAACTCATTCATATCATGAGCAAATAAATGGTATCTGAGAATTCAGTGATTTTATTGGTTAAAATTCCTGTCTCTATCATGTTATAAATTTTTAAAATTTTAATTTAGGTGCCTTAATTAATGGTGATACTAAAGGCGAAGGAAGAATAGAGGTTCCTAATTTGAGTGAAGAACATGAGATGAAAGATGTTGATGTAAGTAACTATTCTTGCAGACTTAGTAGACTATAGTTTTAGTCCAATTTTGAAATTTTATGTTGTCCTTTCATGTGTCACAATTTTTTGGAGTAGTCATACTAGAAACAAGGTGAAAAATAAGATAATAAACCGGAAAATTTTGGCAACTGTAGTTAAGTTTTATTACCTGTTTGGATTTATTGAAGAAAAGTTGTATTATAAAACATGTTGTGTATTTAACAAATTGATTCATTCCTCTCAATTGAAGTGTCATTAGTAAAGAGATATCATCAAGTAAATCATCATTAGTAAAGAGATTCATCATGAGTTATTTTTTTTAACTAATGTAGATATTCTGAGGCAACAGAGTTTTTAGAATAGGCTTCCTTATCTTAGACTGAAAAAATTGTTCTGTTTAATGATGTATATACAATTTGTTGTTAGGTCATTTATAATTAATATGCTGTATAACATAAAAAGCAACACACCAAAATGGAGTTAACCAAATGGCTCAATTATATATGTCCATACCTTATGATGTTGCATGCTTACAGGTTCGTAATAGATTGAATGTGCAGAACACATGATAGCTTGGCAAAATTTATTTTCCCAGAAGGAACTCTGCATTTCTGAAACTTGACACAAAAATTCTGGTACAATTTTTCGCAGCGCCAGAATACTGGTACAATTCTTCACATCACAAAGTAGATCGGTAGTTAAACTTCAGACTACAAAGAACAATAAACAGTGCGGTGCATAGCATATCGAAAATGGAAAGCCCTCACACTCAGTACTCTGAGGTCAACTCTGAACTATAACTGAGAGCTGGCGCTCTCTGAAGTTTTATATACTCTAGTTTTCAAAAATTAAGGAAATGTAACAGAATTAGTGAAAACTGATCCAAAAATAAACCATTCTGTACAAAATTTGAATATGTTGTCAAATAAGAGTTGCTGAGTAAAACTACAGTATTCAAATAAGTGGAGCTGTAGTTGGGATGCATCATCTGCAAGGAGCATAAACTTGCATGTTTGAGAGAAAGCCTGTAAATTTAGCTGTGATACTGAGATAAATCTTGGATAGCCACTTTGTAACAATGACCTCCAGGTATCATTTGCTTTAAGAACTGCAGTGGAGAGCTATTGGGAGACTAGAGGCAGAAGAGAGTCAGACAGAAGTGGCCAGATGGCGAAGTGGGAGTTCAGTGGTTCATAGGCTTTGGCAACAGTTTCCAACCACAGATTTTGGCATCCAAGAGGTTCAGCCAGGGATGGCCAACCGCTACAACAAGCACCGATGACCAATGTTTGTTGATTTGTATCCTTATTGAGCATGTTTTCGATGAAGAGGTATAGCTGCTTTCAACCCTCCTCTTCAGACCTTGCCACGTTGGCAACTGCTTTGCAAGAGCAATGGCTCTCACTTCCAACAGAACTGATAGACTGCATAATTTACAGCATTGTACATCTCTGTATGTGTTGTATTGCTTCTAGGAGAGATCATACTCCATATTGAAGGTAATTTGCCTGTACCAAAAGGACACATTTCACATTTGTTCATTTTATACATTTGCTAATTTTGATAACATCATAATTGTCTGGTAATTTCTTTTCTTATAATTTTATGCCTTACTATGTCTTGTATACAATTGTTTCATTAAATTCTACATGTAACTTTTTGACTAATCGTCATTTTATGTGATTTTTTCTTTAATTGATGATAATCAGTGTTGTTTTCACCTGCCACCAAGAAATCTCCAGGACTTTCCATTTCTCAAAATTCCTGGAAGGCATATATGATCAACATTACATTTAAGGGCCTTTTATGGTACAGTTATGTATAGGGATCAGCTAGTTATTTAATTACAGTATCTATTACAGTTATAAAAGGACCAGTTCCAAATGTCACCAAATGATTGCCAAGTGTGGCGACTTTTGGCAATTTGTTTACAAATTTGGTTAGAAAATTAATATCCAAAACCATCACTGATATCTCATCAATTTAAGAAGATAACTATTTATTTACCTTACTGTTAAATATTTGCTCATGTAATCTTACATGAGAGCGTCGTCTCCTGAGACATGTCATTTACATTATAGAAAAGGTACTACAGTTTCATATATAATTTCACTAAAATTATTTACATTTATTCTCTATTTGTAACAATAGAATATTAAAATGATTCACTTTTGGTGATCAATGACTGATGAGCTGGAGCCACCAGCGCACTGCAACGGAGCACCCGGATGGTGTGATGTGATGTGGGGCATGGTCCTCCAGGCAGATTGTACGTTGCTCGTTGCTCTGCAGTCATATTATGGTTTGTAGCAGAGAGATATAACAACGGCTAAAAAAAGGGAGTTAAAAAATGTAATAAAAAAGAAATAAAGTATAACCAGAAGGTACTACTGTATAGACCTCTGTTGCTTTCTGTTTCTCCCACTGATAAAGGAAAGTAGAAAATACACACAAAACAAACTGAAACAAATGAGTATTAGAACCAAAATTAAAATATAAAACATGCTTGAAACTCGCATAAGAACTTAGTAAAACTCTGTAACACTAAACCCTTTGTTGCATACAAATAATCTAGATAAATTAAACAAAAATGTTTTTATTTTTTCTACTTACAATAACCTTAGAAGTAATAAAAAATTAATTTTATTCAAATTTCGTTTTAAATAATTGCTACAGTTTGTTCACTACAGTGGAAAGCATGCATATACGTACTAGCATACAAATCTCTTCCCAGCGATTTACGGTCATTGCATTTGAAATCATTTCCTGCCTTGTTTGCATGATCATTATCATCTTCTAAATGTTAAATCTACAACTGACCATGTACATACAGATCCCTCGAAATACTTTCATTTTGTCGATTGTGATTGAATTCATTTTGCTACGATTTTGTAACCTGTATCTATTGGATTCAAATGTCAAATGTTCTAGAAATTCCTTGCCAAACATAAACATTTCCAGTGGCGTTTTGGCTTGATTAAGCAGTGCATTTGGGTTTCAATTCACTCTTATCGATAGATTTTTATTTACCCATTCCACAGTTTTCTCAAACTGGCATTTTAAAATGTCTAAAGTTACTAGTTATGAATAAAAAATGACAGTATAAGAAAATGTAAGCAATATTATTTAATGTTTACTATGAGAAATTGTACTAACTTGGAAAGAGAAGTAGCAGCCATTTTCCAAATAGCAATGCTTTACTCAGTGATGCTATACAGCCATCTGTGATTCACAGTTGAAAGTTCTAATAATTAAGAATGAATAACACAGTAATGGGATCTGTTAAGGCATTTACAGAAGAATAAACAAATTTAAACTTTTGTCCACTAGAGTGGACATGATGCAACAAAGGGTTAATAATACATACTAAGCACTGTAATATTCACTGAACTGGCTGAAAGATCTGATGACTTGGTGAACCAACAATTTTTCAGAAGTAAATAGGGGTAAGTCAATGTCTGCCCTGTTAGGCTTAGCAGCGTGTAGTAGAAAAGTGTTCATAGAAATTTACACATGCATAAAATCGATGAATCAAAGTGCAAAAATGATAGATTACAGAATACGTCGTCGAACTGTAGATAGCATTTAAACAGGTCTAAACATAAAAACGTGAACTTTAAAGTTACCAAGTGGGCATAAACATACCACTATTTTTGAAATACACTTTTCCATCAAAGCATGTCCTAAAATGTATGAATATTTAAAATGGATGCAATGAACAATATAGAACTTTTGAAAATACCAGTTTATCTATTTACTGAAAAAGTTAAAAATCCCGAGTTCTCCTGAAGCCCAGTGACATCATTGTTGGCATGCACAGAACCTGCACATCTGGATGGTGTATAAAGCAGAGAACATTCTAATCCTAAGGCATAACTTCCATGCGAGTGCAATTCTGTCAACTAACGTCGGCCATTACAATGCCACACAGACGGGCTTGTGAAGAGTTATGAACAAATGTTCCCATTTGAGAGATATAAGAGGACGTTCAATTAAATTAATGGATGCAGGGTTGTCAAATCACGGGGTTGCTAGATGTCTGGGTTAGAGCGATGCTGACATTCGATGATGCTGGTAGGAATGGGGGAAACATGGTTATACAGAGCGTCTAGAAGGTAGTGGTCAACCAAGAGCAATGATGGAACATGATAACAAAGTGATTGTCCGATTGGCACTCACAGACCCTGATGAGTCCTTATCAATAATACGGCATACAGCTAGGATGCCTGTGATTGCAATGATGTTCAATAAGCAACTTGGTGAATGGAGTGTTGAGATCATGAAAGCCATTGTGCTAACTGCTCCCATCATTGGACACTGCCAGGTACGTTTTCAGTGGAGTCAGGTGCATTTGACTCGGAATCTCATGGACTGGAGTAGAATTGTTTTCAGTTTAAGAGTCCTGCTTCAAATTCAGCCCGATAACCTGTGAAGACCTGTCTGGAGATGTGTAGGACAGCAGTGGGTACTTGCCTTTCACACTTGATGACCAGGAGTGATGGTATGGAGATCCATTTCATTTGATACCTCGAGCCTTTTAGTTGTCATCCATGACACCTTAACAGCTTGCTGCTTCATCGATGAGATTCTATGCCCCACAAGTGCTGCCTATCCTTTGATGGACCTCTGTGACATTTTAACAGGATAATGCCTGGCTGCACACAACATGCCTTTCTGTTGTGTGATTCTCTAACGTGTCTGGCTAGCACGATCACCAGATTTCTCTCCATTAGAGCATGTTTGAGTTCTGATGAGTAGCCATTTCAGATTATCAGCACTGATCTAATTTGCTATTTGGAATGTGTATGGCAAGCAATATCCTAGAACATCCCCAACTCTGCATGTCAAATCAGCCAGTCAACTAACAGCTTGCCCCGGGGCAATTCTTAATCACAAAATTTTTACAGTTTTTGATATTTGTAATTTCATATGTATTGGTATAAACAAAAACATTCAAGCTTTATTGTAGAAACATTGAAGCTTTATTGTAGAAACATTAAAGATGAATGTAAGAAAGATCTAATATAAAAAGGAATAAAATTTCTAATCCAGGTTAGGTATTCTAAACATATGTATGAGAAGTAAATTACATTAAATGCAAAAGTGGTGGCAGTGGTTTTTTTTTCTTTTTCCTTTTGTAGCTGTATTTCTGGAATAAAACAGTTCCTATTCAATTGTGCCATTGTTAGCATTTCATTTTCAGTGCATGTACATAACATGTAATTTTCATTCCGTTCAGATAACTCCTTCTTGGGTGTTGCTTTTTATGTTATAGATTTATACATGAAGCTGTATAATCAGTAGAAACTTAATGTGTTCCAATTCTGTAGGTAAATGTTCATCTAGATACAACAGGACCTGAATCTGAAATTTTGAAAGATATGTTGAGAACAACTGGTGCTGAAGTCATTAGGCAAAAACTGAGTGAATATGTTACTTGCTTGAGAGAAGGTATGTATCACTTCCTGATTCTATAGTATTGTAGCTGACCAAAAAAGTATAATTTTCTATAATTTCCTCTATTCATTCTGATGTTTTGGCTGTACAGAGGGACACTTGACGCCTCTTAATTTTTTAACTTGAACAATGGAAAAAAAAAAACATAGGTTCTCTCTTAGTTTAAAGAGCATCTGGCGTTTAATGTATAGGATTACTAATGGAAATCTGAAAATATTACAGAACAAGTAGAACAAACAAACAATTTTACACACTAATTTATTTTATGTCTTGCATTTATTTATTCAAAATAACCCTATGTAAAATTATTCCATGATATGAGAAATAAGGTACATAATTTGTCTTTATTGATAGATGTAAATACAGATATTTCTAATATTATGATGGGGGGATTTCAATGTAGACAAATTAAATGAAAAGGCATTTGATTTTATGAAATATTTTAATCACCATGGCCAGTTACTTGGCACCATGGTAATATGGTGCTAAGTAACTATCCACTTGGCAATTCATTTATAGATTTAACTTTTAGTAGGAATATAACCACAGACACCTTAAATCTTTTCTGAAATCATCTTAAATCTCGCTGATAAGTATCCACGAGCATCAACCCAAGATTTGTGTTACAGAAAGTTGATGCTGCTTTCTTCACAACAAAGTAAATAGTGTCAATGGTTTTGATTAAGTTTTCTCATAGTATCGTCAGTTACATTCTTTTTGAAACATTTCTTTTGTTTGTTGCACATTGTCATATTGTTTATTTCGTTCCGATTCTTTGCCTCGATCACCTCAATTTTTCTCTTTCCAAACACATGAATGTTTTTGGTGAAATATACCAAAGACCACTCCAAAACACTGACTCTCTGTGTGCGACTGTCTGCCTGATGAGCTTGCCACTTAGTAAAATAAAATATAGAAAATGCTACCCAAATATACTGACTGTTTACCAAACAGCCTTGCCACTGACACATGGTTGTGCATGCACATAGAGCTTTGATGTCACTAAAATGTCGCTATTTTGATGCATTTCTTTGCATATACCCATTGTGGATTTTTTTTCCCTTTGTGTGTGTTTGCTGATATGCTTTTTCCTCTGTCTAACGACTAATTTAGATTGATTGTAACATTTGTAGTTTAGAAGATGATAAGCATTTGTGCACACCCCAAATAGGAATTTATTTTTTGCTTTCTCATTCATCTGATATGGAGGAATGTAATCCTACAATAAAAAATACTGAGGGACTGCAGAGTCCTACAGTGCGAGTACATACAATCCACCACCTCAAGCTCTTTTTAATTGTAGTATATTGCATATATCAAGTAAATATTTTAAAGTTGCTTGTCGAGTTATTATTATGGGAGGATATTCTCTTTTGTTGCTACAAAAAGTGGAATCCAGATTTGTGGCTTTTATGTTTATATTGATCCAAGGTTGGCTGCTGAGTTTTTCTTCAGATTTGAGTCTTATGTTGAAAAGTGTTGACTCCTGTGAAAAGTGAAATTTTCAGTTGTCAGTTGAAGAGCCCAACTCGAATTCTGGCTGGGATTTCTTGGTTAATACTAACCATTTTGTTACATAACACTTTGAAAATAAACAACCTGTTGAAAAAAGCTGGAGTTATTATAATGAAAGGAAACTTATTCTATAGGGGGAAAAATACAAATTTAAGTTAAAAAGAAACTTACTGCTGCAAACATAGGTTTATATTTCTTGCATGTAATTCATGACTAGTATTCAATAGTTTGTCAGCTAATCAATGTAGTTAGTGTAATTGATATTGATTGTGATTGAGCAAAACTTTTGTTTTATTTAACCCTTTATTTGGCATGGTTGCTTAGAAGCAACATGTTTTCATTGGCTTTTAATGAAGATTTGCCAGTTAAGGGTTAAACTGAACTACTGAACTCAATATATAAGGTGGGCTCATAAAGAAACCAGGCAATTCCTTGTAGATGATAAAGAGATTGCTAAGTAAACTTATCTCCTTCAAAATAATTGCCAGAAGAGTAAAGTTTTTCTAATGTTTCTTTAGGTAATTGTAACATTGTTTATAGGCATGGAAACCAAACATTATATAAATAAGCGTAGCATTTGATTCAATATCTGAGATATTTTCAAAACTCTTAGCTTTTGTGGCCATCGTATGCTTCAGGAAAAGGGGAAAAATCAGCTGGTGACATGTCGAGGGTATATGCTATTTGATTTATCAGTGCAGTTAAATGCTTAGCAATATATTATTGTACAGACAGTGCTATATGGGGCCTAGCATTGGGGTGTAAAAGAAACCGTAGCTCAGAATAAAAAAATTTCCTTTCTAACTTGCATTATCTTGTTTCTTAATTGAAGGAAAGCACTTTCTTGTAATAATTGATAGATTCTCAGGGACAAATTCATGGTGAATAAGTCCTTTGTAATCCAGAAATGCAATCAGCATCACCTAGTTTTGATATCCATGCTTTTTTTTATGTGCCTTTGTTTAAGGTTAAGGAATGCGAAGAAACTTCAGCATTCAAAGCGAGTGAACCTACAGCATGCTTATTTATCAGTAGAAACTAGTTTTATATTATTCTGATGTAAATAGATTATTAAATAAATTATAAATCTTAACATTTTTTATATATCATGCTTTAAGACTTTAGATATCTGAGCTTATTTTTCATGCTTAATAAAAATTTTCACCTGGGGTTCAATGATTATTTATTTTAATCTTATTTTATTTTCTATAGTTTTGATAAATTTTGCAACATTTCGTAACACAAAAATTTTAAACTTTCGAACTGCAAACAAAACATTGTGTATCATTTTTCATTTATATGTAAACATGAAAACTGAATAAAAAGAGCATTTTACAAGAACCAACTTTTTCTTATAGACTTTTTTAAATAGTATATAATAGTCTTCAGTTTAGCAATAAAATAAAAGAACTACCATTTTCAGTTATTACATTTATTTTTAAAACAAAATTTAGTGCAAAAGATCTTTTATAATAAACTAAATATTAAAAAGGAATAGTTCATCATTTATTTATCGATATAAATACATTAAAATTAAAATTTTTATTGATAATTTTTAATGTCAGTATTGTTTTAAATTAAACGTCAGTAATGTTATGTAAGTAATTCTGTTATTAAAATAACTATTAAACCTGCAGTGATCCATATTCTTATAGAATAAAGTCTTAATGCCAAAGATCTGTTTTTAAACTTTCATAGAGGGCTCACCAGCAGCCGAGCAGTAAAGTCACTGAACACTGGTAGTTCAGTCCGAGGTTCGAATCCTGCGAACGGGCTGGCTGTATGGGCATTTTCGTGGTTTTCCCCATATGTAATGTATATATGAGCCAGTTTCCCCGGAGGCATCCCTGCCCTTAGGCAGATAGCCCTCGAGGCTTTGCTATAATCACACACACACACACACACACATAAACTTTCATAGAAAATCATTTTACTTTAGTTTTGCTGACGACTGCCTTTATTAAATAATTTTTTAATTAAGATATGAATTCTTACTATTCTGTATTACTGTTTAGCAAAGTCTGGATACGTTCACATTAGAATTTATGAACATAATAATTTCTGAGCTCCCCAGATTGAAAGTTTTGCCTGTAACTATGTGTGAGTTTTGATTCTTTTGGGCCACTTGTCTGTATCCCTAAGGAATTGTAAAGGGGAAAAAATAGTAATTCTCTGAAAATCTAATAGATATAACTTTTTCAAAGCACCACACTGCAGAATTCTGAATCAAATTTTGAATTTTGCAAGGTAGTTGGCCAACATCTCGTTACCGAAGTGCACATGGTAGAGCCTGTATCATATATGGGAAGTGTAATGATTACATCACGACACTGAACACAAGTAAGACATTGTACTGTTTCTGGAACAACCCATGAATTGCCCAAAAAAACTCTAATGTAACGCCTCCAAGTGCATAAAAATCATGCTATATACCAAGATTTTAGGTCAATAATTGCAGTACAACCACTTCTCTTGCAGCAGTGGTGACTAGCAATAACTTTTGACTCATCAACAAGTTGCCCTCATCCCAAAGCTGCCAAAGAAGGGATGCACTCCTTGTGCTCCCTTCTTTGGTCACTAAGATGTAAGGCCTTGTTCTCGAAGGCCCACACACCAATACACAAGTAAGGAACAACTCTTAAACAATATGTTTCTTGTGTTGGACATAATGAGGCTGAAATACATACCACTTTACAAACATACGAAAGGTCACAGTAATGCGGATATATATCACAGATTACCTGGAAAGCTATGTTGAGTGTAATCACTACAGGCCTTTAAAATTAGAACCATCAGGGTTATCCCAGACACCAATACATGGCCTTTGCATTGAAACACACGCTCTTTGATTTATTTGGTCTACTACTTGAGGTACTGTGGGAAAGCATGGATTTTCTTTTTGAAGATTGCAATAGAAAATAGGAGAAGCTTTTTTTTGCTTTAACTACTGCTGTGTCAGAGAAATTGCAGTTATTCTAATTGAAGAAGTTTCCTTGAGACGTATTGCCTCAAAAGGTAATCAGCCATAATGAAAACTCAGTTTGTTAGCATTGTCATGCAGCTAGTATATTTTCCCCTGAACATTGGAAAATTCTTTATTGCAGTATATAACCTTCAAGCAAATCCTGTAGAATGAATGAACAGGGATCTAGAACCTAGATTGGCCATTGTTGGGAAATAATTGCTCTTTTGCAGAAAAATCTACCAACAATTCATTTTGCAATGAATAATTATATATGCAAAACCACAGGCTAAACATATGCATTCCTCCTATTGGAAATAGAGCTATGTACACTGGACAATATTTCATCTGCCATTAGGAATATGATTTCTGAATAGAATTTTATGGCAAAAATTACTTGATATTTGAAAAAATTTGTCATCAGTCAACCAGGTAAAGGAACTGGCTTCAAAGAAGTAAAACCATTGGAACTAGTATGCTGATAAAAGTCAGATTTAATATCATTGTTGGCAATAGA